TTTTCCTTAATTTTCCATGGCTCGAAAATATTTTTCCTTATTTACATTTGACCAATTTTCTTTAATTAGTCAATTTCCTATAATTGGCTTGGAAAATTACTGTAATTATTTTCCACCAAAATTCTTTGACTTTTCCTTATTATTTTTAATCCTCAATAATTTGAAATATTTTTATCTCTAATTATCATAATGCTGGATGTGACAACTTCATAAGCCCATGTCGTGACTGGGGACACAGAAACACTCCAAATCTTGCGTTTTGGCTCTTATGACTTTGTAGCTCCTTAATGCTCCATCTTAGGTCTTAGATCCTTCTCCAATTGTCTGAAAATAACAACAAAGAACTTTGTAAAGACTAACTAATTATAGATTAAGGCAATTATAATTAGGGAACTTCTAAAATTCTTGCCAAAAGGGGTCTAATAATCAGCCTATTTTAGGATAATTCGGGTAGTTATAGACCCAACATCCAGGATGTTACACAAAGCAACTAATTTGGAAGAAGAACAAGAAAGAAATGCAAGCTTGGAGAGTGGAGAAGAGCCTAGTTCGCGAGGAGTGGATGACTAGCCAAATAGGAGCATGGGCAATGGCGAGAGGACAAAGACAAACAATGAACAGAGGCCAGCAAATGGAGGCCAGGCGATAGAGAAAGAGAAGAAGAGAGTGCAAATAGTGGGGAGGCTGCTGAAAAGGAGTGGTCGGAGCCTTTAGAAGAGATCACAAAACCAACAGAGTCAAGTTCGAAAAAGGGAATGGCATCAGATTAGGAATTTTAAAAAGGGAATACTTGATGGTTTTTCCAAAAAACTGTAAATATTTTTAAATAATACCTGACAATTTTACTTTAAAACCATCAAGTGTTCTTCTTCGTGACAATACTTGACGGCTTTTATTCCAAACCATCAAGAATTATTTAATATTGACTTCACGATTTTGGGTAGTATTATTGAACAATACTTGACAGTTTTGGGCTCATAATAAAAAGTACTAACGTAATAGGTCAATCAGTCTAAGGTTAATCGTAAAAAATACCTAAATCTAAAAATCAACTCAAATCAACATTCTAAACCAATTAAACATCAATTATAACTCATATTAATATAACCCAATCTTTAAAACTCCTTTTGAATCACCGCATTATCATTTACTATAAAAAACCTTCAAGAAGCACAAACCCTAGCTCCAAAATCATCAAAACTCTAAATTCAAAAAAAAAAAAACTAAACCAATTAAACACTTATTTAATCTCACTCATATAAGTTATTTAAACTCAAAAGATTCGGTCAAAAAGCCCCACAAGTCAAAATCCATGAAAACCCCAACATCTCAACCATCTCAAATCTGAAAAATCTAAGAGAAAAAAGATAAAAATGAGGTTAAGAATATTTAACTTGATGTTTGGAAACTCAAATATACTCCCAAGGACCAAAATCCACAAGCCCTAGCAAAGCCTCAATGATCCTCCACCCCAGACCATCTGAAAATTACATCTTAAATTGATTTTAAAAACTAGTTTTTGATGCATTCACTATACATTCACATGGCACTTAAAAAGTGCCCTTTTTGTCAAGCCGTTTATTGTGGCATTCACAACATTGAACTCACGTTGATTGTCACACAGCTAGAAAAGAATCCAAAATTAAAAATTCATAACTAATTCCACACACCTCCAAAAATTACAAGTTATGACTCTAGAAAACTTGAGATATCTGTTTTTCAATTCAAAAAAGAATCACTTAGGAGGATGACTTCTTCCTCCAAAATTCTTGATTTCCAAGACTACTCAAAAAGTCTAGTGTCATGACCGCCAATCATTAATCTTAGTGCTTCTAAGCCTCAAACCTTTAAATTCAACTACCCAATACATCAATTTTCTCACTAATCCCAACTTAATTGATTCTAAACCTTGGGATTAAACGCTGTGTTTGGCTAAACAAAAGGGAGAGAATGGGAGGAATTTTAGTGAAGGGAAGGGAAGGGGAGGAAAGGGGAGGGTAGCTACAAAGGAGAGGGTAGGGAGGGGAAAGGGAGGGAAGGAATTCTAATGATCCTTTGTTTGGATTGATTGAAAGGGAGTAGAGGGGTGGATTTTAATGATACCTTATTTTATTCTAATAAAGAATTGATTATTTTAACCTTATAAAATTTAAATGGGTTTTCTCACTTTTTTATTTTGTCAAGATCTAAATATATATATATATAATGCATTCACCAACTTTAACTTGCAAGACACCGTCACACACATACAAGATATCAAGATAAGAAGCCGTAAGTGATGGGTTTCATAAGAGAAGAGGCATTGAAGGTAAAAGAAAATATTGCATAAAACAATGAAATTAGAAGAGTATAAAAGGTCCTACAATGCTCACCAACTTTAGAGACAACTATCTCGACGGCCTCTTGCTAGATGTTTAAGAGAACTCTCTTGCATAAAAATGTTTACGGCTAATTAGGGTTTAACAAATCGAAAGGATATATGAGGAAGTAAATAATTTTGGAACTTAAAATTTTATTTCTCATCTCCCCTCTAAAAAACCCTACTTTTGAAGGGAAGGCTAAAGGGGAAAAAGAGGGGAGAAGAGCCCCTCCCTTTTTTAAAAAATACCTCAACCAAATAAAAGGAGGGGATCAACTCCCCTCTCTTCCTAAAAAGATACACTAGCCAAATGAGGGAAGAGGTTCAAAAACCCCATACCAAACATAGTGTAAAAATTCAGGATGTTGCACTACTATACAACGCATTCCATTCTCTTCTCTCACACTCACACTCACACTCACTTTCTTCACTATGCTAATGTTAGAGCATAAATGGTAGCAAAGTCACGAAGTTGGGAGTGGGAACTTAGGGAATAAATGGTGCCTCTCATTCTATTTTTATTTAAATCACAAGAGATCATTTTTTTTTTTTTGCTTTTTCACCATGATTTCATAATTCCAAATAAGGTTTCCATCTCTCATTGGGATTATGTGAATAGATCATTTTTTCTTTTGCAACTTCAACTATAATTTTTTTTCAAATTTTCTCTAAAAATTATTCGATGCCAAGTTATTTGATTTCAAAATGGAGAAAAAAAGAAGAAGAAAATATATGTTTATTAAATTATACAAATTCACGTTTAGAAAATTTCTTCTAATTTTGATGTTGGGCTTTTTTTTAATTTTAGATTAATTTTTTTGCCAACGAGTTTTAGATTAGTTTATGGAATTAGTACTACATAAAATTATTATTGATATTTTTTTTAGTTTATCTGACCTTGATATTTTTTGGTAATGCTTTAGTAATTAAAATTGATATAATGACAAAGGAATTTATAAGTTTAAAGCTATGGCTTCTTTAAAGTATAGTTCCCGGTTCAAATATAAACATTAAGGGTCCGTTTGAATCAGCGATTGGAAAAGTAGCTTATTGAAAAAGTAGCTTATAGAGAAGTGAAATTAGATAAAAGCTAAATTGGATAAGCTGAATTGTGTTTGGATTAGAGTTTAAAAAAGCTAGATTGCAAAAGTGAGATTGGTAAAAGGTTGTTTGGATTATGATTGAGTAAAAGTAAGTTTGGTTGTAAAATGACTAAAATAGATATGAGTTTTAATAAATAATGAAACATGATTAAAAAAATAATTTCACATAATACAATGAAATTAAAATAATTTAATATGAAGAAGTCATAAAAAATATTTTAAATATAAAGTGAAACATGAAAAATAAAAGTATATATTTAGGAGCATATTTAAAAATAAAAATATATTTCTAACTTATTCATTACTTTCAACTAATTTTAATTGATTTTTTATTATCTACAAATTAGTTATTTGAGGCTTATAATAAGAACCAAAAGAGGTAATAAATTTCTTAACTTTTTCTCTCTCCATATTTCAAAAGCCATAAGGCATAAGCTATAAGTCATAAGCTGTTAATTTTAGCTTATAGCTTATTGTAGCTTTTCAGACAAAAGCCCGATTGCAGAAAAACTGATCCAAACAGACCCAATTTTGTCAATCGAGCTTATAGAGCTTATAGAGCTTATAAGCTACTTATAAGCTTCAAATAAGTGATGCCAAGCAGGCACTAAGTAACTTACGCAATCCAAAAAGTCAGTTAAAATTAGTTAAAAATGATAAATATATAAAAAATATTTACTTTAGGGAAAACTGCAAATAAATACCCTTGAATAAGTAAAATTGAGATTGGGACTCTTAATTTGAAAAATAACAAATAAGAACCCGGTCTTATTTTTACAAATATGAAATCATGGTGAAATGTCTGAGATGCCCCTCAACCAAATGACAAGTTGATTTTGAGAAATGACAATTTCACTTTAGCGAATGATAATTTCAGTAGATCAAATCAGAACTTGACCGAGGTCATGCTAAATGACGAGTTGACTATAAGAAATGACAAGTTCACTTTAACGAATGACAATTTCAATAGACCAAATCATAACTTGGCTGAGGGATATTTCAGACATTTCACTCATATTTCATATTTACAAAAATGGGATTCAATTCTTATTTGTTATTTTTCAAATTCAGAGTCCCAAATCATAATTTTACATATTATAGGTTTTATTTGCAATTTTCCCTTTATTTTTTCTAAAACACCCTGAGGAATGAGTGTAAAAAGAGATGAAAAGAATGAATGGAGAAAAGATATGAGAAAAATATATAATTAATTATGGATAAAGATAAAAAAGGTATTAAATAATCTAATAAATCTAAAATGAAACTTATGAGGAAAAAAAACAGACTCTTTCAAAGATTTGATACTTATATTTTGAAGTAGAGGGAGTATTTAGAGAAAATTAAAAAAAAATTGTGAAAATTGCAAAATCCCATATTTATTATTTACAAATTAATTCTGATCAAAACTAGTTAAAGTATTATTGGCATTTCTGACTTGGAATTTTATAATTTTTATAGTATTTATTTACAATTTTTCCTAGTATGTAATTTAGCATTAAGATAATAATAATTCGCAGCCGTGAAAACTTAAAAAGTAGGATTCCCCTTTTAGCGCCCAACTGTCTCTGCACCGTTCGTCCCTTCCCGATGCCATGGCTTCTTCCTCTCCGCAATCTTCCCTTCGCAAGACAATGCGCATGATCTTCATCCTCTTATCTATTTTTGATCTTCAAGTCTTTGCTTGGAATTCCCCGTTTCAACCTCATGACGTGCTTCCTCTTTTGCCCAGACAGGTCTCTTGGCCTATCCTTTACTCTTTACACAGTGCCGTCGATCTTCTTCCCTCCTTCGTCGGCGCTGCTTCGTCTCCAAATGACTCCATGGAATGGAAGGGCGCGTGCTTCTACAACAACACCGCCTGGTTGGAGTTTCACAACAAAAGCGGCAGCGAATTTGGTGGCGGAACCTTGCATTTGAAGGTTTCCTTTAAAGTTTGATATCTTCCTTGTGTTTGGTTTATCTTTGCGGTTTTGAAGTTTTAGCCATCCAGGATACAATTGCTTATTCTGGAAATTCTGATTAGTGTTATTGAAGTGAAAGTCTATTGAAGAATTTTAAGGACCCGAAAAGGGGTTGATTTCAGTCGTATTAGGTTTAGTTTTATCAGTTGTGAAACACTACTTACTCATGCTAACTTATGGCTTTGCCCTTTGCCCTTTGCCCACTCGAGTATTCACTTTCAGTTAATCGTTGTTCACGTTTTGATTTTGTTGAGTTTTGAAAACTATATATTCAATTTCTGAATTTGAAGTCTGGTGGCTTATGTACGCAAAGTTCATAGATGGTTAGATTTTGCTTGTACGTATGTCTGTATGAGGGAAGAGAACTTGTAAGCTTGATTTTAGTATAATCCTATTAAATTGAAGTAAATTGCAAGACCTCCTCTAGTTTTCGAGTTGAAGTGTTTACTGTTGGACACAAGTATCTTTCTTGAGCCAATGGACACGAGTATTTTTGTATTATGATTTTTGCTCTGAATTCAATTAAAAACTTGTGGGCATTATTTCTTGTTAAAGAGCGTTGGGCTTTTGGTCTACCTCTTTTGATCACGTTTTCTTATCACACATAATTGCGTACCTCCCTCTAGTTTGTTACTTCTATAGTGTAAGTTGTTGGTTGAGGCTTAGGAGTGATCTCTACACATTAATTCTGACAGGGCTTATTATTTGTGTGCTCAACCAGGTAAGCAATGCTCATAGTTGGACATGCATGGACATTTATGTCTTTGCTACTCCATATCGTGTGACATGGGACTATTATTTCCTGTCTCGGGAGCACACATTGGATTTCAAAGAGTGGGAGGGGAAAGCTGAGTATGAGTATGTAAGTGGCTTCCTTCAGTAGAACATTGCTAGGCTTATGGTATGGCGTGTTTTGGAACATGCATTTTCGTTTTATGGATCTGTACTCTCTTTTTCCATCAGGTTAAACGCAAGGGGGTATCAATTTTCCTCATGAAAGCCGGGATGCTGGGAACCCTTCAAGCACTGTGGGATGTCTTCCCCTTGTTTACAAATACTGGATGGGGGGAGAACTCCAATCTTGGATTTTTAAAGAAGCACATGGGAGCTTCTTTTGAAGCACGTCCTCAACCATGGGTTACTAATATCACTGTCGATGACATTCATTCTGGAGATTTCCTTGCCATTTCAAAAATTCGAGGTCGCTGGGGTGGGTTTGAGACTCTTGAGAAATGGGTCAGTGGAGCATATGCTGGTCACACTGCTGTTTGCTTAAGGGATTCTGATGGAAAGCTATGGGTTGGTGAATCAGGACATGAGAATGAACAGGTAAAACCATTTAAGTTGCACAAATTATGTCAATGTTTCTGTTGACTTCAGAATACATGTATGGAATTAAACTTCTCTTCTATCAGCTTGTGCGGAAACTTGAAAGCACTTTGATGCTCAGTTGTTTGGGATTAGACCCCTGAAAAATTGGTAGGGTTAAACAGGATGTGGAAATTAGAGTTCTCGGATTTGATCCTTAATCATTTTTTTTTAAAAATAAATCTATGATTGTTTCTGTAACTCTTTCTATTTTGTTTTTGCTATTTCTACCCACTGCCTGCCATGGTTGAAAATATTTCTGCAGTCTTTGTGCTCCTCCAGCTACGTCTCCTTTCTTTAAATCGAAAAGTTTCTGTCTTTTGTATTTCAAGCCTTTGGATTATCTGTTTATTTGAATTGGCCGAGCTTGTCTCTATCTTAAGCTTGAGGATAGTAGCTCTTCAGAATTAAGTTGCCAAACTAATATTTAGAGGTTAAACTATAAATGGGCCTAGTGAATAATCCTATTCCACATTTTAAGATATTCTTCTGATCCTTATGTAAGAGCTGCATAACTAATTGGGTTAACGTGCAATTTTTTTTTTTGGTCAAAAGATTATGGTGCAATTTTGCATCAGAAGTTTTCGCATAGCAGCTGTGGGTATTCAGAAATTTTTATGGATCAGTGTCGCCTTGGAAGTGTCAACAGAGGAGCAGTGTCTCCTATTATACTTCTGTAACAAAGTTTAAAGAGAAGGAGTGTTATGTTAAAAATATTGGAAGTCGTTAGTTATAATTAGTTTACAACTATTAATGTTTTTTTTTGTCTTATTTTGTTCCTAGACGCTCCGTTACAATTATGAGGAAACTGATCTATAAATAGGAGACCCCTAGATCATTTGTACCTGTCTCAAGTTTACTATTGAATAAATGCATTTCAGAATTCCCTTCTTTGACTCTGTCAATCTCTTTGTTCTTCTCTCTTCTCTCTTCCTCTTTCTTTCTCATCTTCCATAACAAGGAGAAAGAGGGAAAAGGGGGGAGAGAGAGAGATAGGAGAAAAATAGAAAGAATAGAGAACCCAAGAGGAAAAAGAGAATAGATAGATGAGAGAGACTGAATAATTCTGCACTTCAATCCATGAGGAAAAACATACACACTCTACAATCTGAAAGTACATCTTTGTACAGGCAGAAATTAATAACAGATGCTAACGGTTGATCCTATTAACAAACTAACTGATACATGTGAATTAGGGGTAAAAGGGGTAGTTTGGGTAATTTGGGTCATATAAGTCTATATATAGGAGTTTTGAGGTTTGTAACAAACGTCAATTGCTGAAATCAGGTTGGATCCAACTATTAAAGAGGTTCACAGGATACTGAATTTTGTTAGATTGATGGAGAGTATAAAATTGGGCCTGTTAGAGCTTTGGATTAAGGCAGATGCGAAAATTATAGCAATTGAAGGAAAGGAACTCTTTGTTTCTATCAAAATCGGGGAAGGTGTGTTTGTGGGCTGGTGCATGACCATGGCTATTGCAGCTGTGGTTTTAGTCGTATTCCTGCTCTTATTAGTCTCTGCGTCTGCTTCTATTAGCCTTGGGTTGGATGGTACTATGCATGAAGCTGTTTGTGTTCGAGAAGATTGGCTTCAGGGGTGGCTAATGTTCGTGACACGTGACAACAAGAAGGACTCTATAAAATATGGGCTTAACAAGGGTTTGGGCCTCTAACGTATATGGGTCCAAGATCTTTTGAAGGGGTGTGGGGCGTCCAGTTCATGAAGTTTCTGCAATGGAGGTCATATGGGCTTACATGGAGCCGAAAAATGGAGGTTTTAGACTGAAGAGAACTGCAGCATGCTTCGGTTTTGATGTCCACTAATTTAAAAAAAAAACAAAGAAAGTGTTATTCTAACTTTATGTTTTATTTTCTGCTTTTGTACCAATCCTTGTCCTCAAGGATCTCTTGTTGGGGGAAGTATATTGATACATGGGAATTAGGGGTAAAAGGGGTAGTTTTGGGTAATTATTAAGTCTATATAGAGGAGTCTTGAGGTTTGTAACAAACGTAGATTGAATATATATCTTTACTGTTCACTCTCTGCTCTCTCTTCCCTCTCTGTTTACCTCTAACACTAACACTAACAAACTATGAGACTATTGATTATTACCCCTTTACCCTTGCTTATAACATCCCAATTACAGTTACATTATGATGCACCTCCCTTGAAAAGATCCTTGCCCTCGAGGACCAAGTAGGATTAAGGAGAAGAGAAAGATACAAAATTGGACACTAAACAGAAGAACATAGGCTTTTAAATTCTCAAAAAGAAAATTTGCTGAAACACTGCTCTTATACCAATTGTTACACTTCTATAAAAAGAAGTGTATAGAGAAGGAAAAAGAGGGAAAGAGAGAGAGAGCAAGAAGATAGTAGAGTGAAGAGAAGGAGAAAACTGAGAGGCAAGAGGAAAACTGGATAATGCTGCACTTCAATTCATGAGGAAAAACTTACACACTCTATGATCGGAAAGTTCATCCTTGTATAGGCAGAAATTAATAATAGATACTAGCGGCTAATCCTATTAACCAACTAACAAACTATTAGAATATTTACTGTTACCTTGTTGCCCTTACTTATAATATCCCGATTACAGTTATATAGCATCATCTTTGACTATTGAAAATGTCAATGGTCAACATCATTCTTTTAACAGTTAGGGCAATTTTACTCCCTTTTAAACACTAGGGCAAAATTTGTCAAACAAAATCTTCTGGATACCCACACCTATCATAAACTTTCGAGGCAAAATTGAATCTTAATCCTAACTAATTTGGCTAGATTAAGGAAGCTAAATAAGTTACTTAATCTCCCTAAAATATCCTAATGTAATGTTAAATTGTATATCAATTTATAAGTTAGATAAATTAGTTTGGGGAAAATGATAAATGAGAGATAAAATGGATTAATCTTTTACGTTTAAGACCAAAACTAATTCCCAACTAGCTTCTACATTTAGGATAGAAGGAGTACATTTTAGAATTAACCGTTCTTTAATGTAACAATTTTCCTATCTCAAATGTATAGACTTTCCTTAATGATAAATGAAATCATTGTGCTGCCAAAAGATATGGAATAAGAAAAAGAAAGAAAAACCAACTCCTTGTTCGTTTGAGCAATGGCTAGTCATTTGTCTAGAAATAATTTGAAGTCAATGAACATATGTTATTTGGTTCCTATCTTTTTGTTGCAGGGGGAAGATATTATTGCTATGTTGCCTTGGGAAGAATGGTGGGACTTTGAACTGAATGAAGATAACTCTAACCCCCACATTGCTTTGCTTCCCTTACACCCTGATATTCGAGCAAAGTTTAATGAGACTGCTGCATGGGAGTATGCAAGGACCATGGTTGGCCAACCTTATGGTTACCATAACATGATTTTCAGCTGGATAGATACTTTAAGTGCAAACTATCCACCTCCTCTGGATGCTCATGTGGTAATCGTCTTAATAAGCTATTGTGCTTTGGTTTTCCCCCTAAAGTCTGCATTAATATTCAGTTTATAACTGCATGCAAGACTTCATGACTAGAACCACTCAATGTGTGCCATGGGGGCTAGGTCTGCTATAAGAGGCTAGTACCTTATAACGTGGTGAATCAAGGTTTAAATATCTAGTGGGAGAGATACCCACATTTAGTATTTGACTATGTCTCAAACAAAATTACCCCAATAAGAGGATCCTTGTGAGCATTCCAAAAAAGGAAAAAAAAAATTCTCACTGCATGTCTATGTTGTAATACTGTTTAACCTCGTTATTACCATACAAAAAGTTACTTTTGATGACTAAAGAGTTTTTGAACTCTACATATGAATTAAAATGCATGGCGTTAAGATAGTTTTTTGTTTTAGAGGAGCAAAAGAATTGTTCAAGTTGAATAGTTCAACTAAACATTTGGGGCCACAAGTAATGGCAGGAGGAGCGCCTCCTCTTCTCTAGCATCGAATCTGGCTTTATCCACAATCCACAGAACTTAGAAAGAGTTTGTGTATCTTGACCATTAGCTAAGTTATACTGCAGGTTGCTTCTGTTATGACTGTTTGGAATCATCTGCAACCTGATTATGCTGCTAATATGTGGAGTGAAGCATTGAACAAACGACTTGGAACCAAGGTATACTGCAATCTATGCTTGTTTCGATTTGAATCAGATACAAAGCTTATTGTCTAATCTCACTGATTTGAACCGGCATCTTCCATCATGAAGGATGAAATGCTTGTGATCCGTTTCAACTGCATGGATAAGTAGACAGTTTGTTGGTGGAATTATTTCTACTTTTAGTGCAAATATTAATTGGAGCTTGACGTGTATACATTCGGCATGCTGCATACTTGGCATCTGCATCTATTATCATAACTGCTTCATGATGATCTGGAATTTCATTATCCACTAAATGAGTTAACCACCGAGATTTTTTTTGGTTCCTTCAGGGACTTACCCTTCCTGAAATTTTAGTAGAAGCTGAAAAGCGCAGGTCATCTTTTGATGAACTACTGACAATTCCAGAACAAGATGATTGGGTCTACAGCGATGGGAAGTCGGCTTCTTGTGTTGCTCTTGTTCTTCAGATGTACAAGGCAGCAGGATTGTTTGGACCAATTGCTAGCTCGATTCAAGTCACAGAATTTACGGTGAGTTAGCTCAGAATAGTATGGTTGGTTCATATTATGGTAATAATTATATCTTGCTGACAATCTATAGCAACGGTTGAGTAAGTTGAATCTGTTGGCTTGGCGTTTTAGATATGCACCATTGTGACAGCATTCCAATTTTACGCCTCACAACACGGATTTAAGAAATTTTATGAGTTCCATTGATGTTGATTTGGTTGGAAGGGAAAAAGGGATCGAGTTGTTGAGGACTTTATTTGGAAGGGTAAAAAATATAGCTGACAGATGCGAGATCAAACATAAGTTTAGCTATAGTCGTGAAAGGGGTGCAGTTTTTGTTGGACTTTGTGTTAAGGGTCAGAGACAGGTGCCCGTACAATCTGATCACTATCAATATGTAATACTACTTATGATTCTTAATATAAGAGCTAGATAACCTCTTTGCAAATATTAAGAAAATTAGTTATGTTAGTTATTTGTAATAAATGAGTATTGTTTTTCTTAAAATATTCTTATTAATCATGTGTATTAGAATAGAAACCTTTTACTACGTATAATCACCACAGGGACTAGTTTGGAGAAAAAAGGACAAGTATAGGAGAAAAAGTAGATTGAGTTATTATATTTAGGATCAAATTAAATTTCTAACTAGCTCTTGTATTTAGGACTAGAGGTAGTATAAAATTTACAATAAACTGCACTATTCATAGGTTATAAATAATGACTTATTCTTAAATTATGTGAACTAGGAAAAAAAAAAAAAATGCTTAGGTTGAATGAGACCACCGCCAACTAATTCCCCATCCTTATCAACGAATGGATGTGTGGGCATTAAATAGTGGCAAACATCACTTCTTTCAACCAATTGAATAAAATTATATTGTTGAGAATAGCGCATGTGTCAATTCCCAGGATCTGCCTTTACTTTTACAAGAAGTCAAGAAATCTGCTTGTACTGCTTAAGTTTCTGCATCAAGCGGGTTGAACCATTTTCCCTGATATCTTTCAATCATAGAAATGTTGTCTTGTAATACATTTCATTATATTTCTTTGGTTCAAATATTTTCTATTTGATGTTTTTTTTCTTTCCAAATTCATCCTTAAAGTTGTGGTAGGATTGGTGTGTAATCTTATGTATGCTATGTGATAAATGCAGATAAAAGATGCTTACATGCTCAATTTTTTTGAGAACAATTCAAGTCGCTTGCCAAAATGGTGCAATGATGGAGACACTGTGAAGCTCCCGTATTGTCAGATTAAAGGGAAGTATCGAATGGAGTTACCTGGGTACAACACCATGCAGCCATATTCTCATATGAACGAAAGGTGCCCATCTCTGCCTCCAGACTACTCCAGATCAACGAATTGCTAGAATTCTTTTTATCCTACTAGGGGTGATTGCTTCTTTAGATTGTGTTAGATACTTGGTTGTTTAGGAATTGACATTTGAATTTATGATATTATTATAGACATATGATGAAAGAGAAGTGACATCAATTCAAGTGTATATATTCTTACCACTTGTATTAGATGAATGTATGTAACTGGGATAATCTTCATAGTTACATTGATTATAATGTAAATAGATGGGAGCTTCAAATCCGAATCATATTTGAAACAATCTACTTAATGGAGTTGCAATGAAGAAGGCATTTTTGACATATAGGTAATTAACTAACCAATCTTGATTTACCGACGGAAATAAAACTTACTCCTCTGGCTCTAAATATAAGAACCTTACATGCACTAGTATAAGGGTCTTATTTTGGGACCAGAGGAGTATTATACTAATTCCATAAGCAGGTTGTGTTGACTTTTGTTAGTGGAGTTTTAATTTGATCTCCAATAACTAGTATTTTTCTAAACAAATTCCTAATTTTTTTAGGTATTTATAATTGTGCTTTTCTATGTCAATTCTTTTGAAAAATTCAGCATTGAATTTAGTAGCTTGGAAATTAAAGATCAATGTGCCTAAATAAAAATCAAGCCTAAATTAGTGGATTTTATTGCGTTTGGCAATAAAGCTGTGGATTGTTTGGTTTAATCCTAAATTTTGCTTGCAAAAATATAGGAATGACAATAACATATACTTTTATAAGATTAAATTAAATCAAAATGAATCATCTATAAGAAAATAGATTTAGATTTTCTTCTATTTCTGATAAATGAAAATAAAGTATATTTTTTATTGGGTTAATATGATTTTGAGTCCTTGAAGTTTGGTCATTTTGGTTTTAGTTCCTTAAATTTCAAGCCTATGATTTTAGTTTTTGGAATTTAATCCATCTTGAAACGATGTTAAAATATATTATAGTATCATAGTAATGTGGACTCACCAAATGATACCTAATTAGATCTTGTATGGATAACAAAAGGGAAATAAAAGAATAGGTTTTCAAAATATAACTGTTTAACTCCCTGTTTCTTTCTCATTGCTTGTTTCAAGAGTTGTTTACAACGTTGCATTCTGTTATCAGTAGATTTCAACACTATTGCACCTTTAGGGACTAATGTTTTAGGATAAGCTAAATTCCAAGGACTAAAACTACAGGTGAGTTGAGTTGCCATTGAGTTAGAATTTGAAACTAGACTAAAACCCTTTAGAAAACTACTACTTCTAGTTCTTAATATAAAACTTAACTGATTTGAAGAAGTGAATGAGCTAAGTTACTAATTGTCGAGTTAACTTTCTGCATTCAATACTCTATTTTCTGTTCTGAGCTTCAGTGTTTATCCTATACACTTTTAAGAGGGAGTCTATAAATCATTTATTACTTTCAACGAATGACTCAAGAGTCTAGGACTCTTGAGGGGATTGTAACTTTATAGAAAGTGGGGAGTGATTGAGAGTGAGCTCAATTACTATACTGTGGCTCATGGGGTATAGTGGAAAGCTCAGAGGTGTTCTAAGAACTAGACATAGGTCAAGTGGTTGAGACCGACCTAGTATAAATTCCTGCGTATTCTTCTTCTAGTTTTCTTTGGTGAAATCCTTTGAAACTTATTTCCTTTTCTTTATCCGGTTATTTATTTTAAAAAGTCAAAAAAAAAATTTTTGTATCATCTAATTCACCCTTTTCTTGGGTGAAACTGCCACTAACATTTGGTATCAGAGCAAGTCTCTTCGAAAAGAATTTAAGCGTCTGAAGAGAGATCCTAATGGCAGGATTTAGTGATAGCATGTTACCCGAAGGATGCTCAACAACAAAACCGCCAAGCTTCAACAGAAAAAATTTTACATTCTGAAAAATGAGAATGAAGATTTTTATCAAAGCTTTAGAATATGGCTTATGGGACATGATAGAACATGGCAATTATGTTCCAATGAAGACAGTAAACAATCAACAAGTTCCTAAGAGTCCAAGTAAGTTTGACGATGAGGATAAAAGGCTCATTTTGTTGAATGATAAAATGATCAATATGCTGACCTGCGCCTTGAGTCAAAAGGAGTATTTTCAGGTTTTAAGCCTAGAAACCCCAAAAGAAATGTGGGAAGCACTGGAGATTGTTCACGAAGAAAGAACACGGGTGAAACAGAGCAGGATCAACACCTTTACCACATAATTCGAGCTATTTTGAATGAAAGATAGAGAAAGTATTTAAGATATGGAGTAACATTTTCACACCTCATCAATCACCTCACTACACTCGGTAAGAAATATAGCCAAGAAGTGAGGAAAATATTGAGCGGACTTACCAAAGAGTGAGAATTGAAGGTGACAGCCATTGAAGAAACAAAAAGAGAATCAATCGGCTCGGTTGCTGCACTCTTCAAAAGTTTGGCAAAAGACGAAAGCAGGTAAAAGTATAAAAAGGAGGTGAACGAAAAAACTCACAAAGGTATCGCTTTCAAAACTCAAGAGAGTAAAGAAGATGATGAAGAAGATATGGAGGATGAAGAAATTGATCTCATAATTAAGATATTTAAAAAATTCTATAAGAACAGAGCTGGGAAAAGATTGTAGTCAAAGCAAAAAGCTTCTACATCTCAAATGGAGCCTAAGGAACCAATCATATGTTTTGAATGCAAGAAATTAGGACACACCAAAGCAGATTGCCCGTAGTTATCTAGATCGAAGAATAAAGACAAAAGGAAAGAAATTCAAAAAGAAGAAGGCCTTTGTCACTTCGATATGGGGAGATAGCTCATTTGAAGAAAATGATAGTGACGATGAAGAAACGGCCAACATTTGCCTTGTAGCTCAGAGACAGATGAAGTAATCATTTCCTAACCTTATGATGAATTACAATCTGAATACAATACATTCCATTTTGAATTAGTGAGGATGGCTAAGGAATTGGCAAGCTTTAAAAAGAAAATCAAACGTTTGGAGGAACAAGTAAAGTAGAAAGAAGTTAGCTCATCAACCTGTACTGAGTGTGAGCAGAACAAAAAGAAAAATGAGTAGCTCACGATGACTTGGGAGAAGTTTACAAAGAATAATGAGATGTTCAAAGTCATATTAGGAGCTCAGTGATGTACAACGGATAAATTTGAAATAGAATATAATCCTACTCATGAAAAAAGTAAAGGAAAGAAGAAAAGCAATGAGCGATCGTATCTAACATTCTTTATAAATTCAGTTCATTCGTCTAATCTTTTTTGCACATTGTTTTCACTGCAACCGTAAGGGTCATACGACATCTTCTTATCATCACAAAAAGAAAGAAATCTATGAAACATTAAAATGGGTGCCCAAAGGTACTTATTACCTAAAATGTGATTTTTCTAATGCAGGATTGTCTTAAGGCATCCAAAACAAACAAATGGTATATTGACAGCGGATACTCAAGACACATGACGGGTGACACTAACAAGTTCTCCGCTTTCAAACCCAAAAAAGGTGGTAAAGTAAGCTTCAGATGAAATCAATCGAGAAGAATAGCCGGAATTAGAGAAATAGGAAGTGACAAGGGAATGAAAGTTGAAGATGTTTACTATGTTGAAAGACTCTGTCACAATCTACTTAGTCTCAGTCAAAGTGCTGATAAAAACAATTAGATAATCTTTGATTTAGAGAAATATATGATCATTAGCAAGGATAACCTACCACTTAAGAAGGAAGAATTGAATGTGAAGTTAAGAGCTCAAAAGGATGGTAACTACTATACTATTCAAATAGATTCAAAGCTTTCTAAAAATTGTTTTCTAAGTAAAAGTGATGAAAGTTGGCTTTGGCATAAACGTCTTGCTCATGTAAATATGAATCAACTTTCAAAATTAACTTAGAAGGATTTAGTTATCGATTTACCTAAAATTCAGTTTGAACACAATATTATTTGTGATGCTTGTTGGAAAGGAAAACAAACAAAGTCCTCTTTCAAATAAAAAAAGACAGTATCAATTAAGAGATCACTCCAAATGCTTTATATGGATTTGGTTGGTCTATCAAGAGTCAAAAGTTTCGGTGGAAACTTATATACTCTCGTGATAATTGATGACTATTCAAGATTTATTTGAACTCTGTTTCTCTCCTCGAAAGACAAGACTTTTAATGCTTTCATTGATTTTGCTAAAAAGGTCTAAAATGAGAAAGGTATATCTATTGTATCAATTAGGACAGATCGCAGAGAAAAATTTGAGAATAATGAGTTTGCAGACTACTGTGATAAACACGAGATTGATCACAATTTCTTAGCACCAAGAACACCTCAGCAAAAAGGAGTCATGGAACGAAAGAACAGAGTACCCACATCATATTTAAGGTCTTTATCCTTCCCTAAACATAAGCATGTTAACCAAATTTATGGCAACAAAATACCCTAAAATAATTCAATTTTCTAACCAAAACAAGCTTTAATCTTAACCAAACCAAAGCTCAAACATACCTTGGTGAATCCTTGATTAAAGCTTGATCATTTTTTGTCCAAAAGCACTTGTCAAATTCAGTCTCCAATATTTAAGTATCATCTTTCTGTGTTTTTCCCAATTATTTATGTCCATTAGATTTATGGATTGTTTGGTTATATTTCCTTATTTTTCTTGCTTGTGAATTTATTTTTATTTAATTATTTTTTATCATTGAATATCCATAGTCATTTTTATATTTATATTGAATATTTATATTTATTTAAATTATAATATTTTTATTCTCTTTTTTTTGAGTTATAGATTTTTAATAATATTATTATTTTATAAGGTTAAAAAGCATTTTTACTTAAAAATATTATATTCTTCATTAAGGATAACATCATAAAATTGCACAATTTTTCAATCCATTTTCATCTAACCAAACAAAAAAATTTTTATCAACTTATTTTCTATTCCAATGCTTACCAAATATGCTATAATTCAAAAAAATTTCATTCTCTTCCATTCTTTTCCATTTTAACCAATTCTTTCTATCAAACAGACCCTCAAAAATAGTAAATTTTCTTATCATTTGTAAAAATTTTCTTTCCTAATATTCCCTTTCCTCTATTTTTCCTTCACTTTTTCTCCATTTAAACACAGCCTAAGACTTGGTGATATTGAATTATAGTTCAAGAAATGAGTTATAACTAAATTAAAATTCGGACAACTAATAAATTAATTTTTTCTGAATCCTTACCTATATCTGCAACACCTATTCAAAACTCGCTCAGTATGAGATCTAGACATAATATATGTACTCCCCTCTTCTCATATCCATGACAACTTTTTACAAGTTAATTTTCAAAATTTACGAAATAATTGATTTTTTTTAATGACGCCCTTGACATAAATATTGTTGAGTAGATGAGAATTAAGAAGGAAATGAGATACTGGCCGGATTAGAATTTTTTATATTTAAGAGTTTTTGGAAAAGATAAGATTAATTTTAAGCACAATTCTACAAACTAAGCGGGTCATTAAATCGATCGAAGAGTTGTGCAATGGTTAGTGGCTAAAATATGATCAACACAATCATGATTAGAAGATTTAATTAACAAATATAGACATATTTATACATAGGCTTGAAAGAAGTAGTATTTACATAAAAAAGCACTAACTACAAGTAAATGAAATATTTGTCTTTGAATCATTTATGATCCATCCAAAACACTTTATCACATTAGGTAAAGAACTAATTTATTAGTTTAATCAATTGACCAGGATTGTTTATAATATCATGACTTTAAGAATATCAATAAATTTTGACTAATTTATTTAACTCTTATAAATTAATAAAAGATTATTTATAAATTAATTCCAAGAACGAAGTGTATATATATAAATATATTTAATTATAGACCATCCTCAACAGCGTCCTTGGCAGAAGGAGAGGGATATTCTTGATGATATGCTACGTTTGAAAGGAGAGGAATACGTCTCCTGTGATGGAAGAAAGTAGCAACACACATCCTTACGTGACTTATCCTCATTACAATTATTTTAGTCAGGCTTTTCAAGCGATGTCATGTGAAGAAGAGATTCATAAGAGTAGGGCACAGCTTAGAATACAACACACGTGTATGCATTATCACTTCACGCCCTCGTCCATTCGTTATGCCCATGAGATAAGCCACACCATATTCTGGCCTCTTTTAGTAAACAACAAATGGTATCCACTACTCTTTTCTTCTTCTTCTTTTTCTTTCTTTCTTTTTTTTTTTTTTTTTTGCCAATAAATGGTATCCACTACTCAAACCTATGAGCACAACATGTTGTTATTTCCAAGTTTGTTAAATTAAGATATACATATATACATATATGTGTGTACACAAAACCACACTGCAATAAATTTTAATTGAATTTAATATCATCAACGCAATCTCTGTTTAGAATGATATAAATTGTATTTTTTTCTGCAATGACGTGCGATAACAAAACAGAATTAGCAGAAAAAAAAAGTGGTTTAGCAAAGGCACAAGTTGTTATTGTTGTTATCAGAAAAAGTTAATTCGTAAATCCTTATAATTTTATCTATTTTTTATCCTTACAGTTTCCGTAATTATGAATATTGACATCTCAACAAAATATTGGGCCTCATAGATCATAATTTGTTAAAGAAATGGTGTTAGTAGTTAAAGATGTGGCTCTCACTTAACATACACCTGAATTAATTTTGCTATAAGAGTATAATATAATATAAAACCAAAATCATTAACGAGATACTTATAAGTATAATAATTTTTTTTATCTTTCTGTTAGTAATAGATACATTTTATAAGCACATTTTATTTTGTAAGAAAATCTCTTTTCATTTTATAATTTGTAATAACTTTTAGCAAATTTATCAACTCTAAGCATAAAAATTAATACTAGTATAAAACTTATAATTAAGAAAACTGTTAGCGCTTAATAAATTACTGATTATTATAAATCAAACAAGGGCAAGTGAATCATTTTTTTCACCTTAGAAAACAAACAGTTGTGGCTCAATGTATCGAGATTGGTCCACACGACGTGGAGCATCCCTTTTATGCAAGAGACGTTCAACAACACAGAACAAACGTGTGACGCAAATTAAACACTACAACATTTGAGACATCAAAAACTCCACGAACCTTCTTTTCCTACCACATCCTCAGATTCTGCCCATTTTTCTTGGCTCTAAACCCACCATTTCATCTGTTTGGTGCCACAAATTTTTCTGAAGGGTTCTCTTTTCTGAGTTCTCTTTCGTTTAACGGCTTTGTATTCTATATCTCCACAAATTTGTATACAGTGCTGCTTCTCTTACAGTCCTTTCATTTCTCTTGGAACACACCATCAAATGTCCACCTTAGCCCAACACAAGTACACCCTAACTCACTACCACCGAACCACCACACGCCGCAGCCCGCTCCGCCACACCTGGGTCTGTTGTTCTTCTACCACCACCACCGCTACTGCCACGGCCGCCAAGTTGAAGTCCGATGCTAAACAGTTAGTCATTGAACCTCAACTTGAGTCCCCTAAAGCGGTGGTTATTACAAGCACTACCATGACTGACCCGCCATTGAGTAATGACCCGAGTTTGCAATCAACTTGGTTGCATCGAGCCTGGGTTGCAGCTGGGTGCGCCACTGTGCTGGTTTCTTTGACGAAGTGCATTAGCCAATCAGCCACCTTGCACGTATGGTTCGAGCCGATTTTGGCCAGTTGGGTCGGCTATATTTTGGCCGATCTAGGCTCTGGGGTTTACCACTGGGCTATTGATAATTATGGAGATGGGTTGACACCTCTGCTTGGTTCCCAAATTGAGGCTTTTCAAGGCCACCACAAGTGGCCATGGACCATAACTCGACGTCAATTTGCCAACAACTTGCATGCTCTGGCTCGTGCTGTGACGTTTCCGGTGTTACCGATTGGACTTGTTTGTAATGATCCTACTCTTCTTGGGTTTGTTGGGGTGTTCTCTGGGTGCATTATGTTTAGCCAGCAGTTCCATGCTTGGGCCCACGGGACCAAGAGCCGGCTTCCGCCCATCGTGGTGGCTTTACAGGACGCCGGAGTGCTGGTATCACGGTCGCAGCATGGCGCTCACCACCGGCCACCGTATAATGATAATTATTGTATAGTAAGTGGAGCTTGGAATGAGCTTCTGGATGAGCACAAGGTGTTTGAAGTGTTGGAGATGATACTGTATTTCAAACTTGGGGTTAGACCAAGGTCTTGGAGTGAACCCAATTCTGAGTGGATGGAGGAGAAAGAGGTCTCTTCTCAAATTCCAGCCCAATGAATTTTTTTACCTAGGCATTGTGATTTTGATATACATTTTAAAGGCCAAAATTTATAATCCAGTGTCTTGTATTACATTAGTTACACCATCTTTCATTTGGCTTTTTTTCTCATTTTTTTTTCACTTGTACTGAATGTTTAGAGGATGGGACAAAACCGGAATGGGCCCGTCTCAATAAACAGTGATGCGAGAGAATTTCCATCTCACATCTCGTCTCATCCCATCCTAATATTGTTCTAGTCCCGATCAGGACGGGATGGGACCATGACATCCTATCTTGGTTCTTTTTTTTTTTATGAATTTTTCTACAGAGTGGACCGGTGGACCTAATTATAATTGGGCTTATTCCAGTGGGCTGCAAACAGCCCAATACTTTGAACTTTTGTTGTTTTTCCTTCTTGTTTTTATTTCTTTGGGCTTAAGCCCTCTTCAAAACCACAGAAATATTATATTAGAATCATATATTTGAAGACATTGGTTGGGACTCTTATAGCTAAAGAACAAAAACTAATCTATATATAAATAAACTCTTGTACTTATTTTTCAATGAACTTCTTATAAAAAAGATATAATCAACGTGCTGATACGAGAAAGGAAAAAAAGACCCTTGTGCATGGTACAGCAGATTTTGCCGGAAAAAAAAAAACAATATTTGTTGTAAAATATAAACATAGAATTCTTTCTGCATTCAAATAAAGGCCACAATAGGTCCCAAAATATCGCGGAGAGTCTTCACTTTTGAAATTCATCAAGTGAATCCAAATAAAAATAAAAAAATGGTGTAAAATGCTTAAATGTTTCTTAATTATTCAATTTTAATCTGCATATATTTTCATCTGATATGTAGCTATGATCTTACCATTACATTATTTAGTTTATACAGATGCCCCCTCTTTATTAACGATTCTATGAGTGAAGTCTTATTGTGGGAATCATTTGGTTTGGGGGCATGTCCATGTCTTTACCATTCATATCCTAGGACTTAGATGTTGTTATGGATACTATGAAATTGTGTCTGGAGCGAGATTAACTTAATCACAGGGGGGAAAATATATAAATATATATATATATATATATAAACTCTAGAGTTGCTCAATATATTTAAACAACAGAATATAGCAATAATGTTATGATGCTCTTGAAACAAAAATATAAAGAGAATCAAGGTTAGTTCTTGGTTCTAAATGGATCCTTGTCTTGTTTTGTTACTTTGTAAGGTTGGAATATTTGTTTCTTTTTTCTTGTTGATGGTGCTGGCCCAAACATGTATAAGGGAAGGGAAGAAGTTTTGTTAGTCCAACTTGTTAGAACACTTCAAAGCATAATAGATCATAGTGGTTACAAGTGATTGTAGGTCATTTTTTAAGTGTTTTCTTTGTTGTGTTTCATGAGGACCTTTTCGGCCAAGACCATAAATGAACCCTAGGATGAGTTTTTTAATGTTTTGATGCTTCTATTGTGTTCAAAATGGAAAATGGTGTGGGATAAACCTAAAGAACAAAGGTTGGAAGCATTAAAGCCAAAGTTGTAATTTTAGAAAATAAACCCTATGGTTCGGTCAAGCTTAAACTAGAAGAGGGAGTTTTATTTTCTTAAATCCAAGCACAGATTTGGAATCTACATGAAAAACCATATAGGAATAAGTCAAGAGGGAATTTTTAGGATTAAAGAGCACAACTCTAAAATTTCAAGAACAAAGGTGGAAGCTTTAAAAAGGGTTTAAGAGTTCTTGAGTTATATTGTTGATTTTTATATGGATTGGTTGATGATTCTTGCTACCCTTTTTGTGGTTGATAATGCTAGGGTTTGACATTTGTGAAGGAAAAGAAAGAAACAAAGAAAGCTCAAGTCTTTGGAGCAAGGTAACAAGTTGAACCTAACTATTGACATTAACTTTTCATTATTGATTATTGCATGATTAATTGCTATTATATGGATGGACTTTGCTATTTATGATGTGGCTGCTCTTTGCACTTTTTTTCTTTGACCTTTGCATGATTAAGATTGCCAAATTATATGAATGCTAGTTCACCAATGGCAGTCAATATGATTATGCATAATAATGATGCTTGTTGATGGTATAGTTGCTGTTGGGATTTCATTGAAATCTCATCCCCCAAATATAATCTAATATTTTAGGGCCTAAAACTTCCAAGGGCAAGCTGTAAAAACCCTTAACCTTAAACATCAATACTCTTCATAAGACCACTACTATGGTAGAAAAGGAAAGTTGTTAAAACGAGCTACCATAGTAGAAGGAAAATTTCATATTTTTAGAAATTGACTTTCAAACTCGGGTCAACCCGTAAGAAGTTGCATGCAACTAAAATAATCCATTCATATCCACTGGGCCTCCGAGCCTCCGGCCCGGGTAACACACACATCAAAATCAGCCCATCCAAATCGTTTTCAACCATAAAACAAAGTTCCATAAAACAATAGCAATGGCCTCCGGCCAACTAAAATAAGGAGATAACGCATCCTCCAATTTACAATAGATCAACAATCAAAATATCACAAAAGACCCTAACTGTGGCAATATACAACCGATCATACATAAATAAAGGCTAGAGACCTAGAGCTAACCAAGCTCAAGCCTCTGCGTCTCTTCCCGAAGGCGCACGCCTAGAACCTTCACCTGAAAACATTGTAAACCACGGGGTGAGACAAAGTCCCAGTAGCTAGCCTTTCCAATACTAGGTACTACTAAATAGGTGCTCGTGAGGTGTCAAGTGGGGCAGTTCACAAATAATACATAATGATAGCCACAACAAATTATGCAAGTGCAATAATGCAATCCCAACAACCAAATCCCTCACTTTGGGGGATTTTCAGGAGCCGAAACCGGCCTATCCCTCACTATGGGGGACGTAAGGAGCCATAAAAGGCCTATCCCTCACTCTGGGGGACGTAAGGAGCCAAAAGGCCTATCCCTCACTATGGGGGACGTACTAAGCCAACCATCATGCATTAATGGAGGCCTTACCACGTGGTAGTAACTATCAAACTCTCACAAATCCCAAATCATGCATCATGCTCAAATCATAATCAAAGAGTAATAATCATTTCACAATTAACCTCATTCAGTGGCATATCTTTCACAATTCCAAAAATGCATTCATCATAAATCAAAACCCCACAAGACGGTTTCCTTTTTATATACAACATATAGTTTGAACACAATTACTATTTGGAGCACAAAACACAAATCTACTCACAATACCACAGAAGCAAGTACTAAGGATTGGAAAGTGGTTACCTCTCGCCTGAGCAAGGAATAACAAACCAACGATGTGGCCCCGTGCACCACCAAGACTCACAACCGGTCTACACAAGCACACAAACACACAACCATCATATATTAGCTTTCAAACTAATAATGTGGCCAAAAACAACACTTGGGGACACAAAATTCCTATCTCCCATCAAAACTCTTCCCAACACAAAGAGTATATCTATCAAGACAACATTCCAAAGTCATACCAATCCATTAACACCTTAATTCCTTTCCAAACATCAATTAAGATTCACAACCTCAAGGACCCACTATGGAGTTCAACACCCAAACATCCCATTTGAGCAATTAAGGTTCCAACAACAATTCTAAACCGATTAAACATCCATTTTAACCTTCCTTAACATAACCCAATTCACAAAACCCAACATCAATCTCTACATTGTCATCCTCAATCCCAAATCATCCAATTCCATAAACCCTAGCTCTAAAAATTCAAGATTCTTTAAATCCAAGAAAACTACACCGATTAAATACTTAAACTAACCCAATGCAATCAATTAAACTCAAAACAATCGGTCAAAAACCTCAGTTTCATCACAACTTAGAAAATCCTAGGGTTCCACCAAAAATCCTCAGAAATTCCAATCAAGAAGATAGATTAGAGGTTAAAATCACTTACTTGAGGTAATGGATCCTTAGAAATGTCCCCTCCAAGCCAAAAGTTTGAAACCCTAGCAGAGCTCCTCTCTCCTCCTTCAGATTTTTCTTATTTTCGCACGCTGAACCCTCCTGCGACTATATAGAATCACGACCTTTCGCCGCGGCGAACTAATCCCGAGAGGGATTACTCGCCTGAAAACCCGACTTCGCCGCGGCGAAAGCTTCCCGAGAGGAAACTCTCGCTCGCCCAGAAGAACTTCGCCGCGGCGTGCCCTTACCTTCGCCACGGCGAAACCTTCCCGAAAGGGAAGCCTCGCTCACCTGAACAACTTCGCCGCGGCGTCCCCTAGACTTCGCCACGGCCAAACCTTCCCGAGAAGACACTCCCCACTGAAACTCCCGGTGCGCCGCGCGAACATACCCTGAGAGGGGTACGTTCACCTATTCCTCCAACAAACCTCAAATCCAACCCAAACACCAAGATCAAGATTAAATTGCTAATCTATCCTCAAAATCAACCCAAAAGAGGCTATTAAAACCCGATAAAACTCAGGATGTTACACAAGCTACAGATTGAAGGTTAAATTATGGTGCCTAACTATAAAAATTCGTGGACTTTTGGTTATGTAAATATTAGATAGTGCTGTAGACCTAACTACACCACTACTTTGAGCATCATTTGACTAAGTTCTTGAATACTTTTAATCACAAAATTTCGCATGATTTTAGATCACACTCTGAGCTTCATTTTGATAGCTAACACGTTAAAAATGACCAACTACATGATTTTTAATGATTTTTCAAAGTTAAAACCCAGAATATGGAAAAAGGGTTTTTGCCAAATGGACAGAGGTGATTTTCACATAAACTTGACATTTTTTCAAAGGGAATACAAAGATATTTTTATAGAATTTTGAACCACTCCATTTTGATTTTTCTAAATTAAGTTATGATTTTTTGAATTTGGGCCAGAAAAACTGGATTTTTTCCCGATGAACAGTGAAAATCTGAAAATTAGCTTTTTTGTGAAAAATTGAGCCCAAGACCATCTACCATCTAATGTGGTCCAAAATAGTTTTGATTAAACCCTAAGTGGATCTGATAGTAAAGTGTAACAGTTAGCGGTAGTAGAAAATAATTATTTTGCATGGGAGGTGAATTTATGAAGACCTTAGAAGGCAAAATGATATATGAAAATACTACACTGAAATTGGTTGGCAACTATGTCAACACAAAGCAAATTAATCCACTTGCAAATGGATGTATTTATATTGTTAATGTATGTATCTTTGTTGCAAATTTTCTAAT